AATAAGATTTGTAAGCTGAACTTCAATTTAGGAAAGAACTAATTCAGCAAATGTATAACTTTAATACATTGAATATGACCTATTTCAATGTATTATTTTTATCTGTGCTGAAAGACATAAAACTCGATATGCAAAGGGAACTTGAAAAGTCGTGTTTTCTCACTCTGCTTTCTGAACCACAGAACAGTGTTTTGGCCATAATTTTGTAAATTCTAACTACCTTGTTAATGTTTGCCAGAGTTACGACTGAGAAAAGAGATGAGGCCTTCTTGGTGACAGACTTAAAGAAAAATAGTCACACAGAAAAAAATGAAAAAATCCACAATCTGTTACTTTTCAAGGATTTTTATTTCATGCTAAGGAAGAATTGACTACATGGGAGTCTTTGAAGTAGGTGCTTTTTAAATGGCTCAGCTGACCACTCACCAGAGAAACATTATTTTTCAAAACTGAAGTAAAACTTTGAGTAGTTTGTTCTGGAGACAGAAATCAACCTTGATGACATAGTTAATAAAGAGCAGACTGTATAAAAGGAGCTGTCTTGAGCCGGGCTTGGAGGCTCAGCCTGTAATCCTGCACTTTGGGAGGCTGAGGTCAGTGGATTGCCTAAGCCCGCGGGTTCGAGACCTGCCTGGACAATTTGGCAAGACCTCATCTCTACAACAAATCAAAAAATTAGCCGGGCGTGGTAGCACGCGCCTGTAATTCTGGCTACTTGGAAGGCTGAGGCGGAAGGATCGCCAGAGCCCAGCAGGTCGATGCTGCGGTGGCCAGGAGCGTGCCACTGCACTCCAGCCTGGGCGAAGGAGTGAGACTCCAGCTAAAAAAAAACAAAGGAACTGTCTTTCAGGGGAGGGGGAGCACTCAAGCTGTAAGCCTCAGCAGGAACAGACAGTTTCCTTGAGGATGGCTCACTGACTCTTGAGAAGTGCTGAGAATGTCTGTTGGCTTCTTGTAAACATCGCCTTTTCAGTAGAATGAGTGCTTTTTGTCTTTTTGCCTACTGCTCCCTTGACATCATTAAAGTTGAAGAATTGTTATGAAAGAAGACGAAATGTCTTGTGTCCAACTTATTCTTCTTCAAAAGGTCAATGGCAAAAGAAAAACCGCTGTTGTTGCAAAGTCAGTTGTCATTGTTGCTTATGGGTTTTTCCAAAACAGAAAGCAATAAAACAAATAATTACATGCTATGTTTTTACATTAGTTTTATTTAACCAAAAGTGCAATCATGAATATCGCAGAAATGCATATACAGTATATACAAAAAAATGTAGTTGAATTGGTGGTTGGAATCTTCACAATGTAGAATTAATAGTATACATAATAATATATATGCTAATTATTAGTGTGTGTGTGTGTATAGATAGATAGATAGACAGAGAGATAGATACATGTAGTCTCCAACCACACTGGTAATCACATACAACCAAATAACATACTTGAAAATATTTAGCTTAGTGTCTGGCATTTAGTTGTTCTATTCGCTACAAATCTTGATATATTACACAGCATTAGAAATTAAGAAATTTTAGATTGGAAGAGAATATTAGAGATCATTTTGCGCCACTTGGTTATTTTACAAATGAGGAAACTGTGTTTCTAATTCTTTAACTTGTGCACAAATGTCAACCTGAAGGACTAATCCTTCAAGATGGATCCTGAGTAACTAATTGGGCTCAAATTTAAAATACAGCCAAGTGGTCATTTCATGACTGGCGGTCATAAATATACTCCCAGAAAACTGGCACCTTTTTAACTCTGGGACTTAAAGAACCCTCCTGAACTAACCAATCAGAACTTACCTGCCTTAGTCAATCAAGGTTTAATTGTATCAACCAGTCAGATTTCCGCTACATAAACCAATAAAAACTTAGCTGTTTTGACCAATTAAAACTAAGCACGTTTGAATCCTTCCCTTGCATAAGCAGACCTGATTTGAAACCTTGCTATAAAATCCAAACCCTTTGTTCTCTGGAATACACCTTCATTCTACACGGAAGGCTGCCACCTTTCCAGTTTGCAAACTGTTCACTGTAATAAAATCTCTTTCGTTCAAATTCCTTTTCGAAAACTTTTGTTCATAAAATAAAAAACTGATAATAAGAGCAACTACTTCTCAGGGTTTTTATCAAGATGTAATAAGATAGTGCATATGGAATATTTATCACAAAGCCTGGCACTTCCAAAGGCTCCATAAGGATAGTGCCTTATTCCTGTCAAGCTGTGACTCTGTTACTGACTCATTGTTGACCTTTCAGTAGGAAAGAAATTAAGATTATATGAGAAAGGGTGAACATAAAGCATAGTTTCATGTGTGTCATAGATACATAGGTTTCTTATGAAGCTCTGTTCTTGGTTTAAGAACCCAAAATAAAATGAAATGAAGGATAATGAAGATGAGGAGGATAAATCTTTTACATGTAATAATTCTTCTAAAATGGGCACATGGACTTCTCTGAATTGCTATGTCCTCTCCAGCATCACTTGAGCTTCCATGTGCCTTGTCTAGACTCTTTCTACCCCTTTGTGATTTCCAAGGTGTACCCAGGATAATATACCAGTATTTGATGCACCTCATTCCCAGCAAGTATTTTCTTTTCTTTTCTTTTTTTTGAGCTGTAGTTTCACTCTGTCACCCAGGCTGGAGTGCAGTGGCACACTCACAGCCACTGCAGCCTCCACCTGTTGGGCTCAGGTGATCTTTCTACTTCAGCCCTCCATGTAGCTGGAACTACAGGTGTACACCACCACATCCTGCTAATTCTTTTTTTTATTGTAGAGATGAGGTCTCACCATGTTGCCCAGGCTGGTCTCGAACCCGTGGATTACAGGCCTGAGCCACTGCACCCGGCTGCAAGTATTTTCTAAACTGTGATGCTCACTCATTAGTAATGATGAATAGTTAATAGAACTTTTGTTCATTAATTTTATATATAAACATTATTTTCAGAAATATTGTTAGAGAAAAATACTGTTTTTGCTTGCGATTGTTGTGGTAGGCAGCAATGTGTCCCCCAAAGATGTCTTGTATTTTCCAGGTGGGCCAAGTGTAATCACACATGCCCTTATAAGGGTGAGGCTGAAAGGCCATAGCCATCATCATCTGTATGATGGAAGCAGAGGCTGGAGACATGTGACTGCTGGAAGAGACCATGAACTAAAAAATCCAGTGGGCCTCCGGAAGCTGGAACAAGCAAAGAAACAAATTCTCCCCTAACGCTCCCAGAAGAAATGCAGCCCTACCAACTTGATTTATTCCAGCTAGTGTCATTAAAAATTAGTTAATAGAGTGATATACCTGTAGTAGTCAGGGTTCTCCAGAGAAACAGAGCCAATATGATGTGTGTGTGTGTGTGTGTGTGTGTGTGTGTGTGTGTGTGTGTGTGTGTGTGTGTAGAGAGAGAGAGATTGATTTATTTTTAGGAATTGGTTCGTATGATTGTGGAGACTGGCAAGTCCAAAACCTGCAGGGTAGGGTGGCAGGCAGGAGACCCAGGGAAGATCTGCAGTTCAAATCCAAAGTCAATCTGCTGGCAGAATTCCCTCTTTCTCAGGGGAGATCAATCTTTTTTCTAGCAACGTCTTCAACTGATTGGATGAAGCCCATTCACATTCTGGAGTGTAATTTGTTTTACTGAAAATATACAGCCATAAATGTTAATTTCATTTAAAAACACCTTCACAAGAATATCTAGAACAGAGTTTGACCAAATAGCTGGGTACTGTGACCTTGCCAAGTTGACACACAAAATCAACCTTACAGTACCACTTAGGAAAATCCAACACAAAACAGCTGGGCTTCTCCAACAGGTCCATTAGAGCAATATTCTAATCCCATTGAGTATTCACACGCTTCTAAGCCCTACTCGCAGTTTCATACCTGGTTCCTGTCCTCCTCACCAACTCAACCTGGAATACCCTTCTCCAACCTTGCTTCCTTCAACAGTGGAAAAAGTCTACTCACCTTTCAAAGCTCAGATCAAATGTTAATTTGGTGACACTTTCTTTAATACCACATCTCATCTCAAAGATTTAATTCCCTCCTCGGTCTCTTATACCTGTATTAGTATAGCATTTATCATATTTCATTGTAATTGCTTGTACATGAAACAACAGATTAGCAAAATGGCTAAAAGTATAGACTCTGGTTCCAGATTTCCTAGATTCAATTCCTCATCTCAGCAAGCTACCAGCCCCTCAATGCCTTAGTTTCTTCATCTGTAAAATGGGGCTAAGATAGTACCTACCATCTGAGTTTGTAATGAGGGTCTAATGATTTAATACATATAAATCTCTTGTATGTAAATAATATATATTGTACGAGGGGACCAAAAAATACCCTGGACTTACCTCCTTTTGGAGGGTGGGTGTCTTGTAGTACAGGCTTCCCCTGCTAGGTAAGTGTTCTAGGAATCCTTCTTCTTCAGTGTAGGAGCTAACATTGTTGTGAGAGGCTGTGTTCAGCTTCAGTAAAAAAAAATTTTTAGACTCTTTCAACACATTTGTTCATTTCATGATGGGTGATTTATGAGTACACCTACCCACTCCGCACTGAGTGTTCAGCAGTTTTTGACCAAAATGGCATGACCCCTGTGCCCCAACCTCCCTATCCACCCAATCTTGATCCTAGCGACATTTTTTTTTGTTTCCTCACAGGAAAAAAGTCCTCAAAGGGAAGTGTTTTTGCCAATGTGGTGAAAACATGAGACCAAAAAGTGGCAGAAGCGCTAAAAGGCATCAAAATTGACAAGTTCAAAAACTGTTTGAGCAGTGGGAAAAGCATCTTGATAGGTGTATTGCATCAGAGAGTACATAGAAGGTAACAGAAGTTTAAGCATGTAAGAATAAATACACAATTTTAAATAAATACATTCAGATATTTTGGGTGCCCATTCATATATATGCATAAATTTCACAATATATTAATACATGTAAAATATTGTCCAGCATGTAATAACCACTTAAAAATAGTTATTTTCATTCCTAGTATTATTGCCACTATCCAATTCTGGTGTCATGTGGAAAGATTAGGTGCTTCTGGAAGGCAGAGACAGAAGTGTAAAGCAACCAGGAATTCTGGGGAAGTTTTTCTTTCCTGGCCCAGGTACCAGCCTTGGTTCCTCCACATCTTTCTTGTTACTGACAAGAACATGGCCGTTATGTATTAGTGAGGCTGCAAAAAAAGTGAGGTCTCCATTCACACTACAGAACTGACTTAGGAAAGGGTCTGAGAGGAGAAGGCTATTAATACAAAATATCCTCAGCCGTGACCGTGGCCTCTTCAATTTTCGTCTTGATCTCAGGAAGGGGAATTTGACTGATGGCCACCACGACCAAGTTTGCAGCATGGGCTGAAGCACTGGCCACGCAGATCCAAAATGACTCTTCATACTGTTCCTCCACCACCACAAACTGGAAGAGCCTCTCCTGAAAGTTGGCGATCCGTTCGGTCAGGTTGTGAAACTTCACTGCGGCCATGAAGCTGGCGATGGCCAATGCCACCACTCCTCCTGAAACCCAGAAAGGTCATCCTCACCCATGGCTCTTTTTTGCAGTTGTGATGACTGTGGCACATGTGACAAACTTACTTTGGGTTTAAAAAAGCATGAAGATGATATAAGCTCTAATTTACTTTTAAACATGGTGAGTAACCCACACTATTTGAGGGGGAAAGTCAGGGTGGTATGGGAAAGAGAGAATAGGTTCTATATCAGATCGACCTCGAATCTTCATCCCTTCAATTTCTCCCATAACCTGGTACCATCCTTCCTAGGGGATCTGCAATTGGGGAAGTTCAGTCTCTAAATATCTCAGGATTTCTGTGACGACCATGAGGGCTGTGTGGCAAGATGAAAAAAAAACTGTAATGTGCAGGTTGGGGTTTCACTCTAGGGCCAGACTGTTGCTGTCCTCTTTAATTATCCTCTCCACATTTAAGAATATGGAGAGGATATAAGAGAAGGAAGACTTTGGAAGGAGGAAAGGAAAGTGGAGCAGGGAAAACTGGAAGCATTCCAAACCTCATTTAATTCCCTATCTGTTGATGGAAACTTTGACCTTCTGGGGATGGGCTCTCTCTCTCTCTTTCTCTCTCTCTCTCTCTCTCTCTCTCTCGATTTTAATTAATATTTTAACCACCTTTATTATGCTTATTATGTCTGCATTGAAGAAAATGTGAGCACTAGAGAAAATCATAAACATGAAAATACTACAACTTTATGTTTTCCCTGAAAGCCAGGTAGGTATAAACACTTTGAACATTTTAGTATATTTGTTTACATTTCTTTCTTATTATTAAGATTAGTATTATGGTGGTCTTACTTTGATTTTAGATTTGATTATTTTCACCCTCTCTTGAACATTTTTCCATATTGTTAAATAATCTGTTGTGGCATGACTTTAAATGAGTGGATCCTATTTTCATCACATTTTATTCTAGCTCCGCATTATAATTTGCTTAAGTATGACCTTATTTCTGTTTTTCTTTTGTTTTCTATTTTTCTTTTAATAGAGATGGGGTCTTTCTTGCTATGCTGCCTAGGCTAGATTTGAACTCCTGAGTTCAAGTGACCCTCCCACCTTGGCCTATCAAAGTGCTGGAATTACAGGCAGTGAGTCACCACACCCAGTTATATACGACCTTATTTCTGGATGTCTAGATTATTTCTAATTACTTGATATTATAAAACACTACAATAAATACTACTTTATGTACATTTTTGTTTTCTTGTCTAATTATTTCCCTCGCATAAATCCCTACATGAAAATGTTCAATCAAAGGATATCCACTAAAGTTTTGTTAAAAGACATAAAACAGTTTTACCTCTTTTTAATACTCTCACCAGTAGAGTTTGAGAGTGCTGTCTCTGTGAGGAAGAAAATTCACAGAGATAAATATTTATTTAATAATCAGGGTTGAGCACTTTTTACATGTCAGCCACTATGAGGAGTCATACAAAGATAAACAAGACACCTGTAGTCTAGGTGAGGGTGAACCAAGTATAGAAAAAATTCTACAGGGTGGCCACCATCCGCAAACAAAGGCAAATACATAATAATACAATTGTTGATATTATAATACATGATCATATAACTTTACCTACTTTATACATCATGGTCACCTTGTGACCATGTGAGGGATTATTGACTATTTGACCTGGGTTTTCTGAGATAACCCTCATTTCATGGAATTTTGTTATTTTCATTCAAGATGATTTGTTAAGTGCATAATTAAATGTGAATTAATTTGTGTGTATAAATGTACTTCTAAATGAACTCACACACATACACACATACACATTTTGTCTTGAAAAATAGGTCATGATGGCCATAAATGAGGCCATGGATCAATGAAAAGACAATGAACTTAGAAACAATTAAATGTAGGTTGGAATCCCACCTCTGCTACTCATTGCTGTGTGACATTTTAACTTTTCTGAGTCTTGGGCTTTTCATCTGTTAACATGAGCCTGATAATATCTCCTCATAAGGAATCTGTGAGGTTTGAATGAAATAAGGCATGCAGAATTCCCATGTACATGCCTAGCCCGAGTGGATTTTCAATAAAAGGCATCTAATATAAGGCATGGTACAGTGAAGGTGTTTGGGGAGGTGAGAGGAGGGAAAGTCCAGAGAGCAAACAAGCCCTATTTGTATTAATATGTGCAAGGATTTGGATGGGGGGTTGAGGTGCTCTTGGCAGACAGATGGCACTCATTTCTCCTTCTTAACCCCGGAGCCTGAACAGAGCAGCCTTTCACAGATGTTCTCTTGCTCACACTCCCCTTCTCCTCTGCCATCTGGGAGGTTCCTCCCAGTCTCAGCTGAAACAGCAGCTCCATCTCTTTCCCCTCCCAGGGTCCCCCGCTGTCCCAATATCTCTCTGTCTTATGCCTTTTCCTCTCACCCCAACTTCTCTTTATTGCTTTAAATTCTCAGTCACTCACCTACTCTAACAAGACGAGTCTTAATTGTGAAAGACTCTGCAACTTTTAGTAAGGAGGAAATTCATGCCCATCAAGAAGGTCTTGGACCCAAGAAAGTCAAGACCGAGGTGGACATTTTAATTCCTTCACACCATTTGCCCAATTATTTAGAGCCCAGGATGGTGATGGTGTGGACACACATATCTCTCTCTCTCTCTCTCTCTCTCTCTCTCTCTCTCTCTTTCTCTCTCTCTCTCCCTCCCTCCTTACCTGCCAGGACATTCCATAGGCAGATGCCCCCTGGGCCATTGACTGCCCGGTATGGGACCTGGATCATGTTGAGAATGGCAAAGCCCATGCTGACCAGAGCCAGGGCCAAGGCCAGGAAGAGGAGCAGAAGAATCGTCACATGAAGGCCTGCGTTGAGCTCCTTCACCAGGTGTGGGAAGACTGGGAAGAGAAGACACAGTCGATATTTCAGTGACAGAGCTTGCTTACCATGAAGGTTTTGGAGGAAAGGAGTGAGGGCAATGCAGCAAGTGTTGGGTTTTCAAACAGCAGTAGGCTTCTTGAGATAAACTCATGGCCCCCAGAGTTGCCGCTTGTCAATTAACCAACAGTCCTTTCTTCCTTGGAGTGGACACAAAATAAAAATGTGTCCTGCCTGGCAGTTTAGGTTGCGTTGATCTTGAAATTCTGAGATCCGATGTGAATGAATACATGTAAACCCACAATGGTGACTCAGCAAAGTAGATATAATTAGTTCCTGGTATGATAGACACAATTTTCACGTTGCACAATACTTCATTAAAATATTAATTTGCCATATGAACGTGGCAGAATAAATGAGTGAATATCAATTTGAATTTGTTTTGTCTATATTTGCCACTAGTACTAGCTGTGAAGATGTAATGGTATGACAAGCTAGAGAGCTTCAAATATCACCTGGGAAAGTCAGTTCTCAAAAATGGCAGTCGTGGTTATTGCTGTTATTATTGTGAGCCTTTGCCTTGGAAAAGTCATGTGACTTTATGAACTGAGAGCCGGTTCAGTCAGTTTCTGAACTGAGAATGGGGGTAGAAATAACTGCATATAAATTGAAGGCAACTAGCATTTACCAAGCATAGTCATGGGCTGAGCATTTTACATCTGTCATCTTTTTCAATCCTCGTGACAAAATTTTTTTTTTTTTTTTTTGAGTTGGAGTCTCACTCGGTCGCCCAGACTGAAGTGCAGTGGCCGCTCCTGGCGACCGCAGCCTCGCCTGCTGGGCTCCGGTGATCCTTCTGCCTCAGCCTTCCAAGTAGCCAGAATTACAGGCATGTGCTACCACACCTGGCTGATTTTTTGATTTATTGTAGAGATGAGGTCTCGCTGCCCAGGTGGGTCTCGAACCCGTGGACTCAGGCAATCCACTCACCTCAGCCTCCCAAAGGCGTGGGATTACAGGTTGAGCCACCGAGCCCGGCTGACAAAGATATTTTTATTACTATTAAATTCTTTTACCCACAGGCTTGGAGATATTAAGTCTCTTGTGTTTGGGTAAGGCGATCCTAAACTCTATATTGGATTATAGTCCTATATACCACATGATATAAAATATTTCAAGTCACTATTACTAGTAGTTATAAATGAAGTATTTAAAATTAGAAAACTAAAGAACTCCTGAGCATGCCCATTCCTCAGCAATAACTCTAGGATTATGCTGAATACCACCTGGTGGAATCTGGGCGCATCTTTTGAGCGCTGGCTTCCCTGCTGTTTCATTTGGTGCTTCTGACCAGCCTCCCATTTGTCCCGGCTCAGGGCTCAAAGCTTTCTTGGTTCTCTTCTCACTTCTCTGACCCTTCTCCCCTCCAATTCCTTTGCTGGCTCACCTGCCTCTCACTCACAGAAGGTTGGCATCTCCCAACCCTGATAAGTAGTTTTTTTTTCCTTCTTCCTGTAAGATGTCCTTTCCACTCTCCAGTTTCCAGGCACTCCCTGTTTTACGTCCTTAGTTCTGATCTTTCTTTCTGATTCTGCACTCCCATTTATTTTTATCTCCATATGGTTATCTCATTGGTGTTGGAAACTTTACCCTGGAAGATGAGCTCGATTCCAGAAGGTTTGTCTGTGTAAGGCATCTTTCTTCCCTGTGTTTCCCTTCCATCTCAGCTTCTCTTAGATTTTTTTTTCCCTCTTTTCAAACCCTCAGTCCCTTTTAATTCCAAGCATGGTAGCTTATGCCTGATTTTTATAACTTTTCATTATCCCCTTTCTTGATCATGTAATCCTTAGGGCACATGGCTAGCATAGTAATGCTCACCAAACCCTTAAAATAGAAAATAGTCACCTATGTGATTGGCAAAGATTGAAACATTTGCTAATGTTTCACCATACTGATGGCAGTGTAGGGAAGAAGCACTCTCCAAGCTTGTAGGAATATTAATTCATACAGTCTTTTTTGGAGGGTAATTTGATACGATCCATCAAAGCAAATTTGCTTCTATAAATTTATTTTCTGGAATCCATTCGCATATGTGGTCAAAGCTTGTATCAAAGAGTGGATTTATTTAGTATAACTGCAAGAAATTGGAGAAAAACCAGCATATGAATCAATAGGAGATTGATTTAATAAGTTGAGGTATCCATATGCACACAATTCAGTTCTTAAAAAGAATTAATCATACTCAAATACTGACATGAACCCATATCCAGATTTGATTTAATAAAAAAATTCAAGTAATAGCCACATTTGAATGATGAGGGAGAAAATTTGGGGCATATGGAGTGATGTGAAGAGGATGGTAAGGAGTCCTCAGCTTCCATAGTAGGAAGTGCAATAACTATATTAAAAAAATATTTTCAGAGGGTCTTACAGAGAAAAGAAATTAAAAAATCTTTATTGGCAGAGGATAAATCTCATCCAACCCCCAATTTATGTGTCATACCCCAAGGCTCAGGACCTCCTAGTTAATTGAGATTTTATTATTTTTATATATGTTCTTATTTAGAAATTCAAATCTTTCCTCAGCAGTTTTCATGCTTCGGTTCTATTTACTTTTTGAGGAGTGACTCTACATTTGATCCTGTTACTCGGTGCTGCCCCAGGAAAGCTGTTGCTTACTTGCCTCTCATATTTGTACCCAGTTCCCAAGAGTTTTAGGTGTCTATGACTTAAAAGATAAATTTAGGTTTCCGGTCCATAAAAGCATGTGATCCACAGCGGCAGATGACAACTACCTATACCAGATGTAGACTGAGTGCTGTTGCTTTGTACACATTCTTTATTCTACTGTTCGTGGATACCCTCTGTCTTACAAATGAGGAAACTGAAGCTCAGAGAAGTGAAATAGCTTAGCCAGCTTCCCACAATCAGAAAATGTTGGCTTAACTATTCTGTAACAGGGCCTATAGTAGAAAATCAGAAAACATAGATAAGCTGAAGTTAAAAATTTTTGACACAGTGTTGCTTGAATTCTAGAGGTCTTATTTTTAATTTGAACACATACTCTTATCTTGCATGCATGAAAGCTATGTCACTTGAATACCAGGACTGATTAATCATTTTATCAGAATCTAAAACTATTAGATAATTTGTTTGCGCCTGATCCCAGAGAAGTCCGGCAGTCCTTTCTGCCCCAACAAGGCAAATAAGAAAAGCAGGACAATTGGAGTCAAACCCAGGTCCTGACCATCGGTGGAATAGTTGTGGGGTAGAAAGTAGGGAGGGAACCAGAGAACTAAAAACTGGAAAGCAACCTATTGTGTTAGGTGCTTTCACAATAATTATTTCAAGTATTGATTTCTCTTGTCCCCATTTCCCCATTAATAAAACGGGCATAATGAAATCTTTCTTCTAGCATAGCAAAAATGGAAGAAAATGAGCTACGAGGGGTTGGCTTGAGATACACGTTTTCAGTGTGGATTTGTGCCTAGTACACATTTTCCTGTTTCTCCTTTACTGGATGAGGGCAGCCACTGGTCTGTTTTGTTCATCCCTGTTTTCCTAGTAGAGCCTGGTCTGTAAATACTCAATAATATAGTTGGACGTGTGGCAGCACATACACGAAAATTGGAACGACACAGAGAAGATTAGCAAGGCCTCAGTGCTAGGATGACATGCAGATTCGTGAAGTGTTCCACGTTTTAAAATAAAAAGTTGGATATGTGAACATTGCTAAATTGTCTCTTTCTCCAGCCACTCAAACAGCCGTGTTGACTTGTTTTTATTTCATAAGGTCTAGGTATAGAAAGGGACCTTAATCACTTGTGATGAATAGTTCTTTGGTATTCTTCATGATTTCTATGGAAATTGATTCCCTTGGGTGATTCAATGGGAGACCTCTGTGATGAGAAGAGGCTATTTGTAAATGAGACTCGATAAAAATTCCCTACTCCACAGCTTATGAAGCACTCTCACATCCCCATCTCTACTGATCTGCACATTGCATAGATTTTTTTCCCCCTACAGATGGACAGTAAATGGCAGAAGCAAGTAAGTTCTGACTTCAACTTGGAGGTGGGAGGTTCTGAAACACCCAGTGGCTGCCTCCAGGTTACATTGTGCTGGAATTAAAAGCCGTAGATGTAAAGGAGACTCGATTGGCACTAGAGATCCTTATAATACACACAGTGTCCCCAAGATGCAGCAGTGTAAAGTCAGTCAAACATGAGAGGAGCCTAGCCCTGAGGCTCCCAGTGAAAGCTTTCAAAGAGAATCCCATCCAAGGTACTGTGAATGGATGTTTATATACCTTCATCTGGGACAACCCCAGGGCAGCAGGAAACAAAACCTTCCCAACTACTCCCCTGCTCAGGGCTAATAAGAAAACATCCGTGCTTCAGAGACCAGACCACATAAGATAAAGCCAGAGGGATGCTTCCCATGGGTGTCCTTGTGAGAAGTAAGAGGAAGGAGGCCAAGGAACAATTATTGAGCTCCTCCAATGAGCACGCAGAAAGTACTCATTTACTTATGGCTTGCGACTTGAGGCATTTTAAGTTTCTGGGAAGGTCAGGGGTTTGATCATTAGGTTAATGCAGATACATGACTGCTGTTTAATCCTTTTATCCCATTCAAAGTTTCACCAATATTCCTGTTGTGGCCCAGAAATTGATACCCCAAAATATGGCGCTTTGATATGCTGACCGGAAGAAACCTCAAAGCCTCTCGGACTTTCCCTTCATAAATTCTGTGTCTCCCAAAGCACAGGATGATGTTGTCCTCTGCAGTTCCTTTATCGACCTAAAGTCTAGCTCTGCCAAAGAAGAAAACAATTACCGCTGGTCCCTGAAGGGCCACCGCCAAGCCACAAGTAAAGACACATCCCCTCCCTTTCCTGGAAACGGCGACCCGGCAAACTAAAATGGCGATTGAAACGGTGCCTTCCTTTGTTCTTCCTCGGTGCCTTCTTTGTTCTCCCTCCGCACCCCTTCCCGCACCCGCGAAAAACCCACCAACCTGGATGGAGCTCTGCCAGCCGACCAATAATCGACTGACAGTTCGCCCTAAGCCCCCATAAAGGCTGGAGCGTCCTTGCTTCAGCGCCACAGCCTGACCCTCAGGTCCTGTAGCCACCGCGTTCGATCCATTAAATCTCTTGGCCTTAACGGGTGTTGAGTCTCACTGTGCGCCACCGTCTTTCAGTCCCTTCCCTGAGTTTTGATTAACTAGCTCATATCACAGGAAGAAAGTGAACTCTGTCAACACATCTGGGCAGACTTTTGTCATAAGCCATTATCTGTTCTACGAATCCAACAAACTTGATCTCAGGCCATTGTATGTTCTTCTAACCCACTGAGTTCCCCTAAAAAAATCATTTGCCACCCTCCTGAAATCATCCACACATTCCCATTTCCCCTTTCCTCTGAGTTGAAGGGCATGTAAGTATCTGTACCCCATTGCACTATCAAGCAATCACTCTGTGATTCTCCCCGTTGCATGCTAATAAAGTTGTATGTCATTTCTCTTCTTAATCTGTCTTTTGTCAGCTAATTTTTCAGTGAAAATTCAGAGGGCAAAGGGAAGTTTCCCCCTAGTTCCTACAGTCCCAATGGCATCCTTTACAGTGAAGGGATACGGTTTAGAATTAAGTACTGCACAGAGTTGTCACAGCTCTCTTTTAACATTTTATAGCAGAATGGGGTAAATGCTCAAATATATTTCTTGTATGACTGAGTGAATAAACACAGAAACACATAAGTAACTGCTTCGAGGTCAGTAGTTGGCCCCATGGCAATCACCTGGAATGACAAATTGTCTCTCTCCCACTAACCCTGTGGCAGAAAGGGGGAGTTGGTAGCAGTTAAAGGTATTTCCTTTTGAAAGCCAAGCTGCAAGCTTTAAAGACCCACCAGGCACCAGGCCAGTTTTGTTTAAGAAGAGCCAAATGGCCAGAGACTGGCCATTTCATGGAAATGTAAAAGAGTAACTAATTCGCAGACTTATCCCAAACCCCTCTTTTGAAGTTAACAGTTTACAATCCTACACTTTGCATTTCCTGGAAACCATTTGTTCTTTAAAAAAAATCTGATTTTGCTGAGTACGACCTTGTAAAATTCCAAAGGAAATATGTAATCACTCAACACGACCCCCTCCCTTACCTAAACAAGAGTATAAGAACTCACTTCTCCTGTTCTGGGGGGCTCAACTCGGATGCTTTAACCCTTGAGCTCGCCAGCATAATAAAGCTGCCACTTCGTATAATAGTCTTGGTGTCACAGTCTCTCTATTTTCCCACAGCAATTTCTTTTTAAAAAATTTCTTGTTTATATGGGTGTGTGTTTTGACGTTTATGTTATGCTTTTCATGAAGCTATTTTTCCAATAGCCAGAGTTCAATGTAATTGCTGGGTAGATATAAATATGCCCAGACTGTTTTTCCTTGAATATGCATAACAAATATATATTTTTCCTTTATGTATATATGATGATAGCTTGTATTATATTTGTCTGTAGTTCCAGCTTTCCATCTTTATACATTTAGTAAGATACCTACCCTGGTCAGGTTTCTAAAAACGACTACAATTCTGAAATACAGAAATCAAGAAATGAGTAAAATTTCTTATTCCCTTGCATTGGCATGGTGTTGTTTAATCGTGGTTTAGGACACTGTTCCCACCAGTGATCTGACTGTCTGATTCTGAAGGCTTGCAGAAGAGTACCTTCTTTTGTTTTTTCCTTCTCAGAAGACCCTTCCTAAGCCCAGCTTGGATTCCTGCCTCACCTGCGAAGTCTGCGCAGACTGCTCTGTTTACATCCTGAGCAGCTCTGAAGCAACAATGAATGCCGGCCAAAGTCCGTGCCTGGTCACGTTCAGAGAGCGGTCAAATACCTTACCCGAGATCTCTCCTCCAGTAAACATCCAAGTTAGGCTTTGAACCTGGTAGTCTGATTCTAGATCCCAGGTGCAGTGCCCCTTTGTTTTTTCTTGGACTATGAAGCTTTTATATAAATAGATGTGGAAGTAGTTATCATGCTTCCCGAAGGCTCATTTCTGTAGGCATTCTACACCCGCATGTTGTTGTGGGTGACACTCCAGACCTGTGGCATGGGTCTGGAGTCTGGCTCTGCTGTTTCCTGGCTAGGTGACCTTAGGGAAGTTATGTAACCTCTCCAAGCCTGAGTGCACTCCTCCGCAAAAGGGAAACATTAATAATTTCTTCTTAATACATTTATTGTAAGGCTTAAAAGAGACAAGTGTTACGAAGTGCTTAGTAGAATGTCCGACACATGGAAGTACTGATATTTTGATTGCCGTTAATAAACTATGCAAATATGCAAATCCCTATTTCTAATATTTCTATATGCCTCTATGGAAAAAGAAAGGAGGGAAGGAAGGAGAGAGGGAGGGAAGGAGAAAAGGAAGGAGGGAAGGAGGAAGGAAGAAAGGAAGGAAGGAAAGAAGAAAGGAGGGAGGGAAGGAAAGAAGGAAGGAGGGAAGGGTCTCTTTTCAGTGCTGAACCAGAACCCTTGGCTCACTGTGGACTTTGCCATTATGCCTGAGATTGAGACAGCAGTCAAATTCCACGTTGAGACATAAGCACCCTTACACATTCAAAAAATAAGCATCTAAATCAGCTTTCATGCCCCCAGTATACTCACTCGTGAATTGGGACTGACGGCCCCCAAGCCCGCACTGCCGCACCTTGCACCCTCGGAAAAGCCCATAGTAAATGTCCCCGATGAATTTGACCAGCTCTGGGTCTGTGGCATTCACCAGATCCACTCCAGTCTGACAAAGGATTTTCCCACTCAGCCAGTGTGGCACCGCCAGGGCAACGATGATCAGGATAAAGGAGGACAAACTGAGTAAAGATGCCAGCCCATACCATGCCTTCTTGAACCATCCAGGCATGCTAGTGGGTGCAGGTCATCCCCAAGGTCTCCAAGCTGCAGCGGGAGCTATTGACATCTTCCAGACACTGGGCAATGCCCTGCTCCAAGGTCAGCTCCTCCAAACACACATTTCAAGATTTCAAATCCATCTCCTCGTCCTTCCTCAGCGCCTGCCTGCACAGCCTCTGTTTACTACAACTACATCCGGAAGCCTCTACAGAGACAATCTTCACCTGACTGTGTAGCGGACAGTATTACTGAAGGAAGTAACCCTATATCTCCCCCTAGACTAATGTTTCAGCAGAGGGCTTAATTGTTCCTCGTTTCAAGTATTTAAATAACTCTGGTGTGGACCTCATAATGATGAGGGAGTTAGTAACAGTCAAAAACTAGACAGAGCTGAGGAAGAGATGCTAACTCATCTGAAAAAAATGCATAGGGTGGAAAGAAAACAACAATGGAATGATTAGCACTTGAATACTGCCAACAGTGCACCATATCGAATGTCCATCTCTCTGATATGTGTCCTGGCATTTCTTTCTCTAAAATGTCACTGCTGTCAGAATCTCCAGAACTGTTATTAATACCATGAAACGACTCCTGTTCTTAAGGTTTTAACTGACATGTATAAACAAGGCTTTATGGATTTATCATTGGGTAAATCTGCCAAGGGTAGAATTGTGACTAGATTCCATTTGTGGCTACTGGGGCAGTCTGGACCCCAACCCTTAGCATCCGCTTCCCTGTACCCCTTTCTTTGTCATCTAAAATGGGTCAGAAAAGCGCTTTACTAATGTGTTAGCAAATACTGGCCACACTGCTGGGGTAGTTCTCTCTTCTAACGATGACGATGTCTTTTTCTTTTAACCTGTAGACAAGAAATGAAGTATTCTCTACTTCCTACCTTATACTGTGGTTTTTAAAATTTTGACTTTTACTGTATTGCTCAATGTCAACTTACTGCCATGTGAGATGGCAACAGCCACTCTGTCCATTCCTTTGGGGAGCAAGATTGGGTATAAGTGGAGCAGTAAAAAATTGCTTATTTGGTCACAGAAGCCTGGAAAGGGGTTCAGGAAGTTGCATTGTAAACCAATAGGAGTCCCAGGAATCTCATGTGGAGAGTGTCTAGGAAGCAGAGGAACATGCTAAGGGAAATGTCAACTTCCTCCCTTATAACTAGGGCTCACTTCAGTGACCTCTCTGTGGCAGAGAGGGGCTGAAAACAGTTAAAATTATTCCTTTTAAAAATCAACCCAGCAAGCTCCAGACCTGCTAGACATGGGATGTGAGAAAACCAAATAGCCAAAGGTTGCTTTCCTGGAAATGCAAGATAGTAATTCATTCACAACCTTACCCCCACCTCCTCTCTTTGTGAAGTTATCGGTTTACAACCCCTGCTTGTCATGTATACCCTGGAGACAATTTGTTCTTTGAAAATCTGGTTTTGCTAAATACAACCTTGCAAATTCCAAAGAAAAATGTAGACCCATACAACCCAACTCCCCTCCCTTACCTAAACTAATGTATAAAATCCCTCTCCTCTTTCTCCGGGTTGCTCAGCCTTGGAGCATTAGCCAGCTGAGTCGTGCCAGTGCTAATAAACCTCTACTTTCTAAGATAGCCTCGGTGTCACAGTCTCTTTGTCTTCCCACAACATCTCCACAGTGAAAATAAAGAAGAGTATCTCCAAAGCTTGTGTGGTTGCAATCGTGTGAGGACACTGATTCTCAACCAATGACAATTCTGTCTCTAGAGCACATTTGGCAGCATTTGGAGATATTTTTTATTGTCATGGCTGGGGAGTGGGGACTTGCTACGGGCGTCCAGTGGGTAGAGGACAGTGATGCTATAAATATCCTACAATGCACAGGACAGCTCCATCACAAGAATTATCTGATCAAATGTAAACAGTGCTGGAGTTGAGAAACTCTATGTTGGAGGTACAGGCCATGGGCAGAAATAGCTAATTTGTGAGGGAGAAAAATGCTAGGATCTGTGACGGAGATGAGTAATGTGTGATAAAAGGCCCACATGGATTAATTGCTCGATTGAAGAAATAAACTTTGGTATTTGATGGCACAGTAAGCTTACTCTAGTTAACAATAATCTATACCAGATTTCTTTTTTTAATTTTTAATTTTAAACATGTGGGGTACCGTTCAGGGTTAGGTACACAAATGTACATTATGCAGGTACCCTCGTTGATGAGGTGTGCCCTGCCTCCCCTGGCAGCTTTCCACTACTGCTAATCCACCCATCTCTGGCAGTTTCTCACTACAAAATATTTCAAAATTGCTGGAAGAGAATATTTTGAATGTTCCCAGCATTAAGAGAAGTATTTAAAGCCGGGCTCGGTGGCTCAGCCTGTAATCCCGCACCTTTGGGAGGCTGAGGTGAGTGGATTGCCTGAGTCCGTGGGTTCGAGACCCGCCTGGGCAGCGAGACCTCATCTCTACAATAAATCAAAAAATCTGCCGGGCATGGTAGCACAGGCCTGTAATTCCGGCTACTTGGAAGGCTGAGGCGGAAGGATCGCTGAAGCCCAGCAGGTCGAGGCTGCGGTGGCCGGGAGCGGCCACAGGCACTCCAATTTGGATAGAGCAGAGCGGGACTCCAACTCAAAAACAACAACAACAACAAAAAAAAGCGAAGTATTTAAAGTGATAGATATCCCAATTACCCAGATTTGATCTTTACACATCATATGAATGTATCAAAATATCATGTATACTCCCAAATATATACATCTATTATCTATCAAAAAAGAAACTGAAAAATTATTCTGAAAAAAGGCCCATTTGGAGGGCCTCAAACACGGGTCTTTGACATTCCTGTCAAATGAGGACTTACATACAATCTGAGGTCCAGGAGGACTGAGACTTTACAGTTTTAGACCTGTGTCTCTACCAGGCCTGTTGTGCCATATTGTACTAATGGTTTGTAGAAATCTTGTAATACAATTCCGTGCCTTTTTTTTTTTTGGTTTGTTTTAAGAGCCTTCATTTGTGAATTGTAAACATTTAAAATATACTACAATTTTTGTATCACTGTTTTGGTAATTTTTAAATATACTACAAAACAGAGACTTAAATATCTCCCACCCGCTGACACGGATTCCGGGAACTCATGATTTCCAAGAGACTCAGTGAATTGCACCATTAGAAGTAGGGGTAAAAGCAATAATTAAAATGTCAGTTGACATTTACTGAGCTCCTACTCAAACACACACCGTGCTAAGTACGCTTGCATCACCTTTTACAACCCTTCCCCAAACCCTACAGAGAACAGAACATCATTCTTCCCATTTCACTGTCGAGGAAAATGAGGCACAGGGCAGTTAAGGAAGTTGCTAGGCCACACAGCCATTAAACAGGAGGGCCAGACAGTAGGGCTTCAGGGCCCTCACTCTTATTTAGAGGAAAAATACACTTTAGGTGGCTTGACTTGTCTCCGCAACGGACTCTCAACGCCTCGAGCGCAGCGGCCATGCGCACTCGCCTGCACCCGCCGCCCACGCTTCCTCGCCCTTAGCCCGGAGCCCTGCACCACCCGGAGCCCAGCACGGGCCCGTGGGCAGGAGGCGGGGCTTCGCCCAGGTCCCGCCCCGGAGGCGTGCCAAACTCGGGGTAGGGGCGGGGCCAAGGGCGTGGCAGAGGTGGCCGCGCGCTAGGGGGCAGCAGCGGG